GCCATTGTCTGCATTCCAGGGCAAAAGCACGTCGTTTCCACGACGGCCGGAGCACGCCGCCGAGGGGATTCCAGTGTGCGGTGTATTCGCCTTTTTAATAATGTGCACAAACTTTGAATTCCCGATCTTTGACGGCGTTGAACCACGTAGATCTGTCAACAGATCAGGCCAGATTGAATACACAGAGGACCCTATAGAGAGCAATTATATTATATAGTTTGTGCATTCTCAGTAGCCAAAGGTTAATTTGTTTGGTCCACTGGCAAACACGTAAATTGTCTCTACAGTCAAGTCATCCTTGAGCTAGTTTACTGTGTAGAGACTGCTCTAGATGAGGTTGTCGCAGTATGACGCGATGGCCATGTCATGGTCTGGCCATTGGCGAGTCTGAATTTCGGCTTCCGTGTCCGAAGCACGCCGTATTAACTCGCCAGTTGCGTTTGTGTGTGGGTGTTGTCTGATGATGGAGCAGGCACACAAAACACACAGACCTTGGCAATTCAGCAGCCTCGGTTACATAGCTGTGGCTTCCACTAGTTCAATCTTGTCCCTCTTGGCTTGCTCAATAAATTTATGAGGGAGAAAAAAAAAAACCACAGACAATGACGTGCAAAAGACGATCAAATAGCGTCGACGTCTGGCGCGGCATGCCGTGGATAGACGGCCTGTGGCCGAGTCTTGTTGCTTTGCCCGGAGCGTTTGTGCTCAATTATCCCGGCTAGGTTATGCTGCCTAACAGTGGAACCCTACGTGGTCGGCAGCAGATCCACGACACAAGCAATATGGCCTGATGTACGGAGGGCGGGAGATCTATATAGACAAGGGCTCTGCTATAGCAGGAAGCTTTTCTTGATGGTATTGTGACAATCGTATCTTGGCAAGGCCGTTAAGAGCTGGGGGACAGCTGTGATATACTCGCCGAGGCCGACATATAAGGTCGTACATGATGAACAGGGGGGCAAAATAGGAGGAAGATGCAGGAGAGGCGTCAGCTCTGTGCCATGCGGGCGAGTAGCAGCAGGGACAGGGGTCCTACAAAACTCTATTTGGGGAGCCTTGTTAATTTATTTGAACGCCATGATGGGACACCTTCAACACTGGTACGGAATACCATTTCGGGACATTGGTCAAGATGTTGCAGAAAAAAAAAAGAGAAAAGAAACACACACACACACACACACACACACACACACAACAAATAAGTAAAACTTACCAA